CGCATGCACACACACACGCACACGCACACACACACACGCGCATGCACGCGCATGCACACACACACACGCACGCACACACACACATGCACACACACGCACACACACACAAACGCATGCATGCACACACACGTATGCACACATGCACACACACACAAACCCGCTCGCTCACACACACACGCTCACACACACACGCTCACACACATACGCACATGTAGGGTAAACATATCCTTATGGGGACCGCTCATTCATTTCAATGGGAAAAATGCTAACGCTAACTATGACAACCTTAACCCCTACCCTGCCCTACCCATAACCATAAGTAACCAAACAAAATACAAGAGTTTTTGCATTTTTAGTTTTTTCACAGCAGTCACCAATTTTTATAAAATAGAGTTTTCCCTTATGGGGACCAGGAAACCGGTCCCCATAAGGGAAAAAACAGATATTTATCATGTTATGGGGACATTATGTCCCCGTAAGGATAGGTAAACCCGCTCACACACACACACATGCACTAAAATACCAGAAGACACTCATTTTATAAATGGCATGCATGACAAAAAAAAAACTGGCTAAGGACAGGAGAGAAAGAAATTAAAAGGAAAAAAAAAACAGGAACAGATGTTTACAGAAAAGTGATTTATGATTATACTTAGGATTATGCAACACTGTCATTTACATATATTTGTACAATACCACTATGAAAGTATTTCCTTGTACCTACCAAACTACAATTAAAACAAAAACAAATGAAAGCCATGTTTTAAGTGACAAGGTCAACTAACCTGCACAATATCACTGTTGGAAGAAGCCCCCCCGGTGGCCAGGACTTTAGTTCCAGGAACTGGAAGAAAAAAAAATGTATGAGTGATTTTGAAGCAAACCACAAACTATGACAGCAAGTGGCAAAATACAGGGGAATCTGGATGCAATGATTCCCAACCCAGTCCTCAGGGACCCCAGACAGTCCACATTCTTGCTCCCCCCAGGTCTCAGCTCACCTCCACCATGTATTCAGGCTCCTTGTTTGGCTGGGAGCTGGGAGGGACCACAAATGTGGACTGTCTGGGGGCCCCCAAGGATGGTCTTAAGGCATGCCATTCATTAATCAAAACTGCTCTGCAAAACACTGTATCTTTCCATCATGCAATTCAGAATTGTTACCAAAAAATCTTTAACATTAAAATACATGGAAATATAGTAATGTAACACTTCGATACTGTACTTTGGAAATGTATTAACTTATTTTTAGGTACACCATTTAGGTACACCATTTTAATTAGCACCGAAAACACCCTTGTAACACCCAACAGGACACCCACCATACAAGACTGACACGGATTTCTAGAAACCAGGTATATTATCAACGGACTCCCTTGCACCTTGAATGTTTACCATGAAAGTGCGATCACTCTCACCGCAATTACAGCCGAGAAGCAGCATCGCGTGTCACCTGACCTCGTGATTCCAAGCGATTAATACTCACTCACGTGCTGCAAAGACCCAACACACTGCCTAGCAGTCTACTCTTCCAGATTTTTGTATTGGTATGTTGGGCAGCAATAGCAGTTCAATACCCAGGCACTTCTAATATCCCTGATGTATAGTGTTTCCATTCTGTGATAGAGCAACATACTGATGTGTGTTTTGATTCCACAGCTTAAAGTTTCTTCACTTCCTCACATTCTTCACCTACATAGAGCGCATATCTCGGTGCTTTTCATTAATATCCAGCCCACACAGTAAATCACTGACGCTTTCCATGCTAATTACGCCTTCTGTTTAAGGTCATTGTGTATTCAAGAACATTCCCATTTTGCACATCAATAAAACTCTCGGAAAAGGGGGAGGGTGACAGTTATGAATAAGACCTTTGTCATTTGCATTTGCTAAATATTAATGGCACTAGCGGGAGCCCTCACGCTCATATACATATGAAATAACCGTGGAGGATTTCACGACGAATTAAACTGCGTTTATGAGCGGCTCGGGGGAAACATCACGATGCGAGTGAGCCGAGTCGGGAAATTCCTCTGATTCTCGCCATTTTGGTCATGCACAGAAGCATATTTAAATATACGAATTTAAAACATGGCCATCCACCCATCCTCTATAACTCCCCATAACTGCTTCTCCAGGACACAATCACGGACAGCATCAAGGAAGTACAAGGCCCGAGATAAGGGACAACCTGGATGTGATGATAGCCCATCGCAGAGTACACACACTATGGGCAACAGTCACCAATTCCCCTAAGAGCAAGCCTGGTCACGTGAGGCTACAATGCTAACCACTGAGCCTCTGTAAACATCCCATTACGTCGGACAATAAATAATTTGTAGCCATTTGAAACACCTATTGAGGGAATATGAACAGAAGGCATATAGTGTAGGTAAGTTCTTGGTATCGGGATGTACATTAGATGGATTAGACCCTTGTAGGGAACATGGCTGCTAGATATCAGTGCTGCTTAAATCCTGTAGCTCAGAAAGTAGACCACTACGCTCACAATATAAAGACCATGGGTTCAAAAGCCATGAAGCACAGCAAAACTATAAGCTTTGCCTCCACTTTAAAGGCACCTGGTAATTAAGCGGATATTCCTACCCATCATCCCAGTACAAAAATCTAGAAAATGGAAGAATAGACTGCCAGACAGTCTTCATTGCATATGAACAGGTATTAATCGGTTGTCGCGGTAAAAGGAATCACACGCAGGGTAAAGTATCACTCCTTCCAGCTGTCAAAAGTGTTTTAATATCCCCTAACTCTCACAGCACTGCTCCGAATCTTAGCGATTTTGGTCATTATGACGTGTGAGGGGAGTTTCTATCAGCCGGTGGGATGCCGGTGTTACTCCGTCTGTCTGACGGCTGATGTCCTCGACCCGCAGCACATCTGCCAAGACGCCAGTGCCAAGGGTCCAGTTACCAGCACTGGCCACGTTTCTTTATCATTTTCCCCAGCCTCACATCAACCCGTCTGCACCAGGGAAGGTTAAGTGCTGGTCTCGAACAGCGGGGCTGAGCTCCCGGTCGCTCCTGGGTACCGTAGGCAACCTCTGTGCAGACAGTCTCCTTCCGGGAGAGATCAAAGGACGACGTGAATAATTTATGCCAAAAACGGTAACGTTTTGAGGTGATCGATGGTGCTCTTGGGGATATGGGGTGATTCAGACGGGCAGCGCATAGCTAAATAAGCCCCCACCCTAAAGACGACACACATTGATGCAATGTTACGACAAGTCGGGCCTTTTCTTTGAAGCTGGAAGCTCAGAACGTAGTTCTGTTACTGGTCCCATGTTTTAAACTGGACCCAAAATTAATTTAGAGCCACTTCATTTTGCGTTTTGCTTTAGGTACATCTCTATCTTAGAACCGTGGGGAATACACACGACTAATATTATTAATGAAAACAATAAATATTTAATACTTTTAATTTATCACCCCCATTCTCCAGTAGATGAAACACAGTTAAAGGATAAATCGGTGCAGTTCACAAACTCGAAATAGTTTAGTGGAAAGCCACTGTGTGAATCATGTGAGCAGAAAGCTTCCTCGCTTCTGTAAAAAATCATCAGTAATAAGGCATAAAGCAGGGAGCCTTTTCGCTTTCCCGCTCGCTTGTATTTTCAGAACTGGGTCACGAACCCCTCTGTTGGTCATGTGACCAGCTTCACAAAGGCGTTGCCGTCGACAGCACCTCAACAGGTGTCGCAGGGTTCCGCCGTGGGACAACAGAGCGCCTCACCTGCCCTAGATTATCGTAGCCTAGCAACCCGCTAGGTTACAGGGACACAGTTATGATGGGATGCTCCTAATGGAAAAGGTGGAGAGGTGAAACTTCTGGCAGATCGGATGAGCTGGTTGGTCTCTGGGGGGAACAGCGTATCTACGCAATAAAGCCGATGGTTCGAATAGTAAGCATGTCTCCTCCTCATCAGACAATTCCCCTCAAGGGTGACGCTCACTCGCTTCTTAAAATCTGGGGGCGTGTGAATTTCCTGAATTCGATCCGGCTCGACTGCAGAAAACATAGAGCTGCAAACAATATCTCCCACTCTGGGTTCCATTTTCCCTTACATGCGTGTGTACATCTTAAAAGAACAATTTCACCCATAATAAAAAATCATATTAAGCTCAGTTTGTGGATCCATGAACATCCAAAAGGAAACTGTATGACAAGCCCTTCGAGCAGGAGGATGGGTCAATTGTTTACTGGAAAATCTAATTTTATCGAGCCATACGTTAGCTTTTCAGACTTGAAGAGATTAGAAGCTAGAGGAGAGAAGATTTACATTCCGTGTCAATTGGGTTTTCTGCTGATCCGAGACCAGTGGCTTCTTCAGCTCAACTTGAATATAAAACCATAAAACTGAGACCTGGGTGAAAAAAAACTTGCCTTTGGGGAACAATTGTTTCCGTTTTTGCACAGCCTCCGGTTGTTGGTCTCTTCTGCATTTTCTTAGCATATTTTTTCCATTGCACTTTGCAGTCGTGTGTATTTGGTACTCATGTAAATTTATTTGTTTTTGTTTCTTTCCACTGTTTCTCATCCCTGTTGTGATCTTTACTAGAAACTGTGCAATCCTACATGGATGAACATGTCCGCAGCAAAATGCTTTGAGTAAGAAAAAAAACTATGCGGGCTACATAATTAAAAAGCATGTCAGAGGTACAAATTTCATTTTGATCAGAATTTCCGTCATAACGCGTCATGCTGTTGACCACTGTCCTTGCTGTTTGTGTATACTGCACAGTGAAGTGTATCTCCTATGTGTTGTGTAATATTGTTTTGTACTTCATGTTTGGCACTGAATCACAGGCAATTCTAGTATGTTTACATGAAGTCTTCTGAGTTTTGAGTTCTGAAACGTGAAGCTTACCGATTTTGTAGCCCAACTTCTCAGCATGCACCCTCTTCGCCATGAACTGGCCCTCCACCAGGGCCCGGATGTCCACCTGCCTCGAGAAGCTTGCAACCTACGTTCCGCACATAGGGGGTACCAGTGCTGAGGAAATCCACAGCGATCCCACAAGCCTGCATATAAGCGACCACATACCTACCCTACTCATCTCTTTGTTGAATCTGTGGACCCCAACAGCCGGTGGCGTTATTTCCATCACATCAAAATAGATGCCTTGAACAGAAAGAATTCCCGTTAACCAAACTGCAACATTGTTAGAACAGAGATGAAGGGAAGAATCCATGGTGGGTGGGGCTATCATCCACTGTCAATCATATGCTTTGGCCTTCCCATTGGCTGGTGATTGGCAGCACACAGAAATCCCGCCCACTGTGGGCTTCATAGACACATGTCTCATCCCTGCTGAAGACACATTTGCACAGAATGGTAATTACTGCATACTGCAGATAAGTCATTTTATAGAACAATCAAGTGAAAATATTTTATTTGAAGTATCCCAGTTACCTATATTTCCATCATTGCCCATGCTGGTAGATCTAAGGGCGTCGCTGAAAGCATCCCACGAGCCACCGGCACTTTCATCCCGGACCCTCTGTCTGGTCAGGGACCCATTCTTGAAGCTGAAGGGTAGTAAAGGCATGGGCGGTTCAGAGGGGACATGGCTACATGCACCAGGCCGAGTAGAACCGTGATTCTGTTACTGCATGAAGAGTAAAACTTTCACACCGAAGTTCTGGAACCTGGTCCCCGGTTAACAAGTCCTTGGGCTGTCTCAACCGGGGACTTTGGAAGCCCCTGACCTCTTTTATGTGTTGCTTTCACACTGCACAACAGAACTGGGACCTTAATGCTAAATAAGCATCAGAGACACGAAAAGCTCATAGGTTAAACTTCCCATATAATTTGAAACTACCGCCACCCCAAAACATTGGAGAATAGCAAATTTGTTTTGTTAAGCTATTTCTTAGTTATTGGGGGTAGCCATTGCAATCAAAACAGGACACAGCCTTTTATTTAAATTTTATTCATACGACTTGCTGTCACGATCGGGCGTAAGGCGAGCCGGGAAGCAGGCGAGAGCAGCCAGGTAGTCAGGCAAACTTGGGTTTATTGCACGAACGGACTGACAGGTACGGACATCCACGGACAATACAACAATGACTGATCTGGGGATGACTGACTCTGACAAGGACTAAATACACTAGACAAGCTGAGGGAAACGAGCAACAGGTGAGATCCATCAGGAAAGAACACGAGGTAATGAGGGGGGCGTGGCACACATCGGGATCGTACGGAGCAGGGTGTGACACTTGCGTCATGTTTATATTAAATTTGGCCGGAAGATTGATTTTTCGGTTTCACAGAATAACAAAAAATGGTGTAACATATTCCTCTAATAAGCGCTGGCTAGTTTCAACACTTGTGACAAAAGAATATTGGTTATTGATCAAATTTTCCAATAAAGAAATATGGAGAAGCAAGCAAACAAAAAGTATTCATTAAACATAATATAATACAAAAATAATTTCATCTACTCAATTTTTGCTCTACTACATCTCTTTCTGCACTTCTGCATAACTTCCAAGTTAGCAGTGGTGCTTGTGGTCAACTAACCAGTAAGCTATCGCTGTAAGTGCCTTCCCAGCAGTTTGTGTTCCAACGAAAAGTACCTAGTATGGAGCAGGTATTAAAAAAAGGGTTCTGGAGCTACCACTGAGGAACTACAATCGGGCCAAGTTCCTGCAACATGAATGCAACAAAAGTTCTTGGATCTGGAGAAAAGTCCTAGTTCCTGAAAAAAAGGTTCCTGCGGTGCACATAATGTGATGGTAGACAACGTTGGAGAGGAGCGTGGGGTGGGGATCTACAACAATGTGCCATTTGATTTTATTCCTTTTAAGGTATCAGAGATGGAGGAGAACTTGCACTGACAGAGGGCAAACAAACCATGTGACACCCGGAAAAATCACACACATCCGTCCGCTGCAACAGTAAGTGTTACGCAGAGCGTAATCCGGCCATTTTGTTCGTTCCATTTATTCAGTTCCTTCAACTCATAAAAGCTACACTTTGGCCATCACCCTCATCTATTTTTTTTGTCTGTATACTGGGAACAAGCCAGACTACACCTGCAAAAGTAAGGTGATTTACAGCAACATACTAATCAGAGGGAGCATTTCTAATTCGGAAACGCAGAATTGGTGATGTGGGTGATCGTTACCAGCCATCTTCACAGCGGTTTGTTTCCAGGACGAGAATGATGGCCTAAGACCACAAAAGTGTCTTGCCGGGGGATGCTGCTCTCCGATCTGACACACCGGCACCATTTACCATATCAAGGCCATGAAGGCACAGCTTTCCACTGGGTTGCAGAAGACGTGGCCTTCGACTGTGGGTTTGGGCTCCTTGATCCACAGGAAGAGCGTGTCACTTGTGCCCAGGCTGACCTTCACAAGAAGGAAAAAGGCTTCATGCCCAAGAGAGAAAAAACGAACCCAGGAACAGACGGCTCCTCCCATGCACACACACACACATACAGACACACACACACACACACATACAAGGTCACTGTGGGGTGCAGAACCAAACTCCAAACCCTAGCGATATGAGACCACAGCATTACCCTCTGAGTCACTCACCTCCCGATTACAGATATAACACATTCACTGTTTCTTCTGAGGAAAAAGTACACGTAAGGAAAAAAGACGATTCCAAGCAGCCAATTATAAATTGACCTCTCAGGAACACTTAACGTTGGCTTTAACTTAACATTACATAACACTCCTTACTTATTCCCATTACTAGCTTGAGCTAATTAGCACGAATCCCACGGCGACCCCCCAAAGTGCTGATTTAAGCTCTCCTTGGATTCTTTGACAGCAGACCCCTCTTATTTTTAGGGCAAAGATTTGTGGCGCCCTCTCCTGACTCCTGGGGCCATATGTGCAGATCTGGCTGATGTAATAACTGAATACTTACAGCCACGTCTCCTTCCTGAAGCCTCATTCCTGCCAAAGAACCTATGATTTAAAAAAAAACACTTTTATAACAATTACATTTATTTAGCAGAGATTTTTTACAAAGCGGTGTACTGTGTTCCTGAAGCAATTCAAGGTTTAGGGCCCTTGCTCAAATCATTCTGCTGACTGCGGGATTAGAACCAGTGGCCTAGAACCAGGCACAGTGGCCTAGAACCAGTCACAGTGTTCTATGTTTTTTTGCCACACACCAACCTATGGCTACTTAATATTTACATATCCAAAGTGATGTGCATTTTTGAGGTCAGCCAGTCTCTGAAGCAACTGGGCTTATTGGTTTTGCTCAAGGGTCCAGTGGCGAAATCACTTTACCGAGCATGGAATATAAGGTACACGAACGCACCTCTGCTCCCCCAAATCCTGCCAACAACGAAGGTAAATTAAATTCTCTCTCAGCCAGCAATCTCACAAAACTCTAGAACAGTGTTTCTCAACCCAGTCCTCAGCAAACCCCAACCAGTCCACGTTTTTGCTCCCTCCCAGCTCCCCTGTACCAGCTATTCGGTGTTCCTGATTGGCTGGGAGCTGGGAGGGCGCAAAAACGTGGACTAGCTGGGGTTCGCTGAGAACTGGGTTGAGAAACACTGCTCTAGAAGGATGTAAGAGATCCCCTCGGTGACCCAATGAGACCAATCAACCCACTTGATTGATTGGCCTAATGGTAGCATGTTCAGGGAGCTGATGACTGGCAGAAAATTTGATTACACCAAAAAGAACATATACGAGTTGTCAGACAAATACCCTTCATTGCATGTCACGTTTAACAGGCCAGTACTTTTTATGGTTGCAACATAGAGGCAGGATCTGAAGTGAGTGCACAAAAATGAAAAACAGTTTAGGATTCGAGCAGGTAAACTTACTCTTTACCAAAGCTATTGAATTTCAGCTCACGCAAAAAAAAAATATATATATATTATAAAATAATAAACTGTGCACTGTGAAATATTACACCAGATCAGATGGGATAATTATACAAGTTGTGTGACATCAAAAGAGTTTTTCTGACAAATACTAGCATGTGTTTTTGCTGATACTTTGCAAATGTAAAAATCTCATGCTGGTGATCAACTGCTCTTGTTTAAGAAATCCGATCAAATCTCTCCCTGACAATGGTGCTCTTGAAGGATATGAAAATGGTGCGATTTTAATTTCATCACCCTCTGAATCATCGGATCTGAGACCATTCCTAATGCAGAGTTAAAAACTTGGATTTGACGATTCACAGTATGGTGCTGGCGAGGTGAACTTGATTACCTAGAAACAATAACATTTTTCATTGCAAATACCCAGCATGCCTATTGGTGTATACGAACCTTTGCATCAAATGAGAATTTTTTTCCCTGTAATGCAATAAAGACGCTTTTCCATCTCCAAATTATAGAAATGTGCTTAATACCCTTGAACTGGGTACTTTTTGAAATGATTTATTAAGTGCAACAGCACCTGACACCGCAAAGCACCTGACATCACGAGCCATGGTCAAGAACACTTTATTATATTTCTCTGATAACTGCCCGTTTTTCCCTCTAATTAACAACAAAACGGTACGGCCCCATCTGTTGCACAGCGACAGTCTGGCACAAAGCCAACGTCACGTTACCTGCATCATTTCCCATCCTTGAAATGGTAACCGTTAATCCACGGTGTTAACTAATCATTTGCGAAGTGCCAGATGAAGGGGGACGAATCGCCCGGCTGCGTAACATTGGCGCCATCTTGTGGCTAGAAAGGTAGCTCACCTGGGTTATCCCCCGTGAAGGCCACCACTTTGCAGTCCGCTGAGAACCCATAACGACTGACAAAGTATGGGCACACTGCACCCTACGGGATGAGGGAGGTAAAATCATTTAGAAGTGGCTCTGAGCTCACAGGGCCATTTTAAAACTTCTCACATAGCTTGGCAGGCAGTAATAGTCCAGTTTCTCAAGAACCTGTTTACTCTAGTATCTCAATATTTTCTTTGCTTCATGATTAGATAAAGGAATCACCTGCACTGCATACAATCTATCTTTGTCTGGCCAGGTGGGTTCTAATTACACCTTTCTGAATTACACAGAGGTAGATGAGAGAACGCAGGCAAATGAATCCTCAGATACACACACACATGCATGCATGGTACCTTTTCATGTATGGATAAAAAGGGACCTGAAATTTACTGACATACTTTACGGATTATTGGTCACAGATATGATACACGCTTACTAAAGAAAAGTTTTCCCTGGTTTGGTGTTCAATTTTAAGAGGATGTATTTAACAATATGTAACACAAATCTGTTTGTATGCAGTTGAAGCAGGTAAAAGCGGCAATCAAAAGACATTCAAGCTGTGCTGGATTTTTGCCGATAACAGTCAACATCTCTGGTGCTTTTCTTTGCACTAATGGCGCCTCGCAAGTTTCCGACGTGGTGACCCGTCGTTACACCGCAAACACAGAATCACGCACCAGCACAGTCGTGGAAGGCACAGGGTTCCCAAGCTTGGCCTGCAGATGGGGGGCTGTGGCAGTCAGGCAGGGCGGGGCCCAGTTCTTCGTTTGGATATCCATCAGGTTCATCCCTGAGCCTACACCGGTGAGATGGGGGGGAGGGTGGGGCTTACAGTCTCCATGGTGATGCTGGAACTGAGCGCTTAACCTCACTTTCATGTGAAATCTCAAACCATTTAGCACTGCATCTATTGCACTTTACCACAGTACTCACAGCGACCCAGTATTTTATTTAGTATTTTATCAGCAATAGGGGATACATTTTAAAGTCGTGTTAATGAAAAAAAATCCATCAATACCAACTAAGCATTGTTTACAAAAAATAAAACTATTGACATTTGCTTAGTTAAAAATGTATATATTTAACTCACACAGTGAGACAATCAAAAAGTACACATTTTATTAAGGAGAAGAAAAGTGTAAAGCAAATGTCAGCCAGAAGGACGCCTGCAACTGACCCGGCAACTGAAGACCGACTGAACAAAAGACAGCTTATCTCCTGGAAGCCAGACTCACATGGATCAGAGCCTGTGTTTAAGCCCACAGGCAAACATTTAAAGGTATCAGAGACACAGCCAGGTTGCCTCATGCCACTTACGATTCATAGAGTATAAAATATATATTTATGTTTATTAATACCATGGATTATAAAGCTCATATTTTGTTGGCTTACCATCACTGTAGTCAACTTCAGCATACCTCCCCAGAAAGAGTGATGCAGCAAAGCTGCTGACCAATGAGATTCTCTGAAAATTGGACATTGCAAGAACAATAATCCAATTGCACACACCACCAGTCCACAGCAGTTCTGTCTATGTCATTATTAAACCAATCAATACTGAATATGAGGACTGTAGGTGGAAAAACTGAAATTTGTGGGTTTATGGGTGTCGGACACTGACAATCTCGGACTCAAACACATTGTTTATTGCACTGCATTGCAAGAAATGAAATTTTATTAGTCAAGCAGCAACCGAGAATAATCAATTTGTAATTCAAAGTTCTCCATCAACTCCAAAAAAGGAAAAATTCAACCTAAAACACAATTACTGGCATTATAGTATGTCCAGCCATGTTGAAAATGTTCTTTGTAGCTAAGGTAAAAGGGAGTGCTAATGGCAAAATTAAAAAAACATAATCACCTCTGTTTCACTGTATTTCACTGGGCTTGTCTGGTAGATCTTGGCTATTTGATTCCCAGTGAAACGCTGAAAGAAGTATAAAGAACAAAGGAAGTTTAGAGAAGCAGTAATCAGCTATAAACTATCTCCCACCATGGCGACCAGGCTCTTACTTCATAGGCCCGTGAGCCGGTGATGTCGGCCAGTCTCTGAGCCCCGCCCACGGCCTCCTCCAGCCTCTGACACTGTTCAGCAGTGCTGGAGTCCATCCAGACGGGGCTATCGGGCACTGCAAAGCAGCCCTGTGGCACAGAGACCAACGCGTGCCATCAAAGCAGGTTGTCGTTTACATGTTTAGAATAACTTCAAGCAGAAAGATCTTCCAGAGATGTCCTGAAGACAACCTGTCATGTTACAACATCAGACAGTACCTAATAAACTTCATACAGTAAAAGTTCTCATATTTGGCAATGTCGGGACCGAAACACTGCCAGATAGCTGGATTTCCCAGATAGTTGAGCAGTACTCCTGAAAAACACTGATTTGTAACATACACTATATGTATACACTGTAAGTATTGGGATGTCTAGCCATTACACCTACAGGAACTTCAACAATATATCATTCTAAATAAATAGGCATCAATATAGAGTTGGGCTCCCTTTGCAAGTATAATGGCCACCACTCTTCTGAGAAAGCTTGGAGTGTGTCTGTGGGAATTTTTGCCCATTTATACAGAAGAGCATTTGTGAGGTCAGGCACTGATGTTGGACATGAAGGTCTGGCTCACATCTCCATTCTAGTTCACCCCAAAGGTGACCGAGGGGTTGAAGTCAGGGCTCTGTGCAGACCAGTCAAGTTCTTCCACGCCAAACTCACCCAAACATGTTTTTATGGATCTTGTTTTGTGCACTGGGGGACAGTCATGCTGGAACAGAAAAAGGTCCTTCCCCAAACTGTTCCCACAAAGTTTGAGGCATAGAATTGTCCAAAATGTCTTGGTATGCTGAAGCATTAAAAGTTTCCTTCATTGGAACTAAGGGGCCTAAACCCAACCCCTGAAAAACACTCCCACACCAGTATCCCTCCCCCATCAAACTTTACAGTTTGTTCAATGTAGTCAGGTACTGTAGGTAAAGTTCTCCGGGCATCCGCCAAACCCGGACTCCATCAGACTGCCAGACAGAGAAGCACGATTTGTCACTCTACAGAACACTTTTCCACTGCTCCTGAGTCCAGTGGCAGTGTGCTTTGTACCATTCCACCTTATGCTTGACATTGTGCTTGGTGATGTGAGCCTTCATGCAGCTGCTCAGCCATGGAAGCCCATTCCATGAAGCTCTCAGTACATAGTTTTTGTGTTGGGGTTAATGCCAGAGGAAGTTTGGAACTCTGCAGTCATTGAGGAAACAGAGCATTGGTGACTTTTACACACTATGCCCCTCAGCACTCAGCGATCCTGCTTACTTTATGTGGTCTGACACTTTGTGGCTGAGTTTCTGTTGTTCCTAAATGGTTCCACTTTGCAATAATACCACTTACAGTTCACAGTGGAATATCTAGCAGGGAGGAAATTTTAAGAATTGATCATCCTATGACAGTACTGTGATTGAATTCAAGGTCAAGCATCTTCAGAACAACCCATTCTATCCCAAATGTTTGTAAACCTGACTGGATGACTAAGTGCTTGATTGTATATACCTGTGGCAAAGGGTCTGAATGAAACACCTGAATTCAATGATTAAGAGGTGTGTCCGAATACTTTTGTCCATGTAATGTATTTCTTATATACGTTTATGCACACACATTAATGATGGTTGTACTGTTTCTTTAAATTGGATGTTTGATACAATACAGGAAATTGCAAGGTGAACAATGGCAGAACAAGTAGTAAGATTAATTTTTTTGAATTTTTAATTCTAATACTGAAATTTAAGAATTAAGCCAGTTACTTTAACGTGTCAGTAATGAAAGTTTTTATCGTAATAAGCTAACAGAAGCTAATGATTAATTGGCTCATTTTTATAAATGGAAGGAGGGACCAGGACGCACTTGGAAGACAGTGGCTTTTCTGATATACCTTTACAAACTCCCTGTAAACTAAAATACGACATCAAAAGCAATGCATTAAAAACAAGCTAAGATCAAAATAAATTAATCACAGGGCCCTGATGGCATCTTATCTATAGTTTTAAAAGAGATGAGGGATATTACGTTTAATTTTACTATTTCAGAAATCCTTATCTGCCTGTGTGGTACATGCTAATATAACATCCATATTCAAAAAAGGGCATAGAAGTAATCCAGCAATCAGTTTAACTTGCATAATTGGAAAAGTAATGGAATCTATAATCCAAGTAAAAATAATAGATTACCTGGATTCAAATAATATTCTGAGGGATAGCCAACATGGATTTAGGAGAGGCAGATCCTGTTTAACTAATCCACTTCAGTTCTTTGAAGAAGCAACAAGAGAAATTGATTTAAAAAGGCCTACGATATAATCTACTAAGATTTCCAGAAGGCCTTTGATGTCCTCCACAAACAGCTCCTGCTTAAGCTCAAAGCTTCAGGGATTTTAGGAACTGTATAAACTTTGATTGAAAACTGGTTAGCAGACAGGAAGCAGCAGGTAGTTATTAGAGTAACAATGTCACAGTGGGCCTGCGTTCTTAGTGGGGTACTGCAGGGTTCAGTTTTAGGACCGCTTTTATTCCTAATTTACATTAATAATATTGACACCAATATATGCAGTAAACTGGTTACATTTTCAGATGACACCAAGGTGGATGGTGTAGCAGATACGGAATCAGCATCACAGAGGCTACAACGGGATCTTGAGTTAATTAGCGACTGGGCTGATACTTGGCAGATGAAATTTAACGTAGATAAATGTAAGGTAATCCATGCAGGGAGCAGAAACATGAAGTACAGATATTTTATGGGTTCCACTGAAATGAAGGTAACTGATTATGAGAAAGACCTCGGTGTGTATGTTGATGTTTCCATGTCCCACTCTCACCAGTGTGGGGAAGCAATTAAAAAGGCCAATAGGATGTTGGGGTATATCTCCAGGTGTGTGGAGTTTAAGTCAAGGGAGGTGATGCTAAGATTATACAATTCCTTCGTAAAATCGCACCTAGAATATCACCAAACCTTAAAAAGGACATTGCTGCTTTGGAAAGGGTGCAACAGAGGGCTACAAGAATGATTCCTCATCTTAGAGGAATGTCTTATGAGGAGAGGTTAGCTGAGCTGAATCTGTTTAGCCTCGAGCAAAGGAGACTAAGGGGGGATATGATCCAGGTATATGAGATTCTAACAGGTCAGAATGTTGTTCAGTCAAATAGTTACTTCAATATTAGTTTAAATACTAGAACTTGTGGACATAAGTGGAAATTAGTGGAAATTTGAGAAAAGATTTCAGAAAGCACTTCTTTACACAGCGTGTAGTCAGAGTATGGAATAATCTTCCTGTTAGCGTAGTACAAGCTAAAACCTTGGACTCCTTTAAATCAGAGCTAGATAAGATTTTAACAACTCTGAGCTATTAGTTGAATTCTCCCCAAAGAAGCTTGATGGGCCAAATGGCCTCCTCTCGTTTGTAAATTTCTTATATTCTTTTGTAAAAAATCAATAATAAAAATCAATCCACACACACAAATAAAACACAACTGCTTTCTCTTTCTCTGTCTATTACATTTACTTAATTATTTAGCAAACACTTTTATCTAAACAGACATAAACTTGAGAGAGCAGGGTCAGACAGTCCCCAGAGTGACTGGGCTTTAAGACCTTGCTCTGGGCCCAATGGTAAAATTACTGACCACATGATTTGAACCGTACCGTTATGTCTACTGAGTCTAAACCTTGACCTGGAGTGTCTGACTTAGTTTACAACTCCACAGAGGCATGAAGACATTGAGTGGAGTTGACCATACTTGTGGTAAACAAGGTTCATCATAAGTTTGCCATAGGTACACCCTGCCGACCCCAAAGCCCCCCATTGCTCCACATGTGTTTGTGAGCCTCACCTCCAGAAGCTTGTGTAAGGGCTTCCCTCCATCAAGACCTTCCAGAACCAGACTGGCTCCCCTCTTCCAGTACACACTGCCATGTTGCTGGAGAACAGGGACAGAGCTCAAATCCCCAATTGCTGGATTTCTCTTCCCTTAAATTGATGAATAGGGCCCAGCCCGCTTCTGATTCTCTACCTGTCCACTTCCTGATAGAGCTTCCACACGGGAAAAATCAAACCCATCGCTTCTCATCTTCTCAAGGACAATGTCCAAGGCCTAGCAGACAAAAAAGGACACATTTTATAAACTGCATAAGCCTTCTCACATACCTGTCCTGGATAAGCTGCTGGAAGATGGAGATAAGTGGATATTTTCAACTCTGACAGCGATCACATCAATTTCCACATTAACACAACAGACTGCACAACACCTACACTCATCCTCCAGCGCCTCGTCCTCCCAGTGCACCTCCCATGTCCCCAACCATCAGCAATGACACTGACCACAGTGACTGCACCTCTGTCACATTCATGCATTATATCTACCATCCATACTCATTTATTCCGCGTCCTGCGACACTCCCCAGCATTCCTGGGTCATACATTCTCATATGTACATTTTATGTAATTTTCCCTCTCTGACTCTGTGTTGCTTGTCCTCCATCTCATAATTACACTATTCATCTTGTTATTGCACCGTTGCATGTTTGGTGATGCTGCTGTTCGCCCCTTAATTTCCCCTCAGAGATGAATAAAAGTTTATCTATATACATCATTGGCCAATATCATTAGGCTCTCATTCATTTTCATTGCTATATAATTATAAAGAACCAATCTTCTATATGCCTTATGTTATCACAGTATACGGATGCATTATATCCATCCATCCATCCATACATCCATCAGTCAATCCATCTCCCAGCCATTTATCAAGAACAGGGTGATAAGAATGTGTTTGATGGCAAAATTTAAATGGAAATAAAATGTTCTGACTACCTTGACCCACATCAGCACTGGGGATGTAACTCTCAGGCCGTCACTGTGAATGTGGACGCCATCCTTAGTCCTAGATAATTATGAATTCACTTTTTACCATATGAATGGAAACTACATGTTAATGAGTATCAGTTTTAAGTGATATTAGTTATATGCCCAAATAAAAATTAATTACATGTACAAGGCCACGGTGTAAGATGGATTGCACCTCCTTACCCATACTCTGGAAGTTCACTGTCAAAGTGTACATTGCTCTCGTGGACCGCGTTCAGGGTCTCGTCCACTGCTACCACCTTGAGCTTAAATGGGAAAACTTAAATGAATACCATGCGTGATCAGCAAAGAATATAGAAGCAGCTCGAAAGCGATAGAGGAGCTAACATGGGAAAAGGGGGTGCCGGATGTTTATGGAGTGTGGGGTGTTTTTATTGCTTTATTTACATAACAGTGTAGCTTGGTGAGGTTTTGACTGAAATCGGTCAGCCGGTAGCACAAAGAGATAAGTCACACTTCGGTTTAGGCATTACAATACGCCCCACTTGCTACAGGACTTAAGTACACCGGGTAATTAAAGGGACCATTACCACGGTATTAATGCACTTTTACTTTATATCTCGTTTACGTAATAAAGTAACGTCTCCGCGCTGGGTAGTTTGCAGTTCATGCAATTGTGTCTTATGTCATTAAATATCTTTATTAAGCAGCGACGCCTACGGTACTGCTTTCACACATCGAAGATCTTACCGGTCAAATAATACGTTTAATATGTATATATTGTGGGTCACACTATATTTTATAGGGATTTTAAAAGATTGCCAAATCCGCGATCGAGCGCCATAAAATCTCCGTCGCATTGATTGCGCGCTCAGCTTTTTCTCGCAGCGCGCTCCGTTTACACGGGAGCGCGCAGCGTGCACGCCAGCTGAGCCCTACCTGCTGGGTGCTGAAATCTAGCCCCAGGTAATAAGGCCGACCCGGCGCGGACATCTTCACCCGGGACTTTGGTCAAACGCGCTTACGCGCTGCTTCTGGCCACTGCTGCGGGAGAGAGGAAGGACCCGTATGTCAGGAAATCTCCCTCCTTCTCCTCTCTCTCTCTCTCTCTCTCTCTCACTCGCACTCAATCTCAACTTTAGCTGAACGCACGTGATCTGATGTTTTCCACTTGTTTTATATATAATGTAACAAATAAGAGTAATCGCAGCTATGATTTCAAAGGTTATATTACACTATCTGCTCGGGTAATATGCTGAGTGCCTGTTCTAATCGTCAATGTAAATACTAATGAAACAAAAGGCAGGAAGCAGCAGTGCTGAAGCCCAGGAATAACAGACATCCGGGACTGTTCTGTGTATCACGAAACATTCCCGTAATTTGGAAGTGTAATAATCTGGTGAAAAGACACAGAAATACCATTATGGTTATGTGAGCTCTACCTATTTAGCTACGGTGCCACCAAGTTAACTAGTTCTACCCATATAAAACAATTTTTTTTCTGCAATTATGCAAACAACCAGCAGAACAAGACAAGTATATAAGTTAATGAAAAGTATAATGAAACCCAGAGTCTGTTGTTTTAAATCATCACATGGAAAATTTCTATATCTGCCATCCGGCCTATATCCGCCTGAATGTTATGTTAAAATATGGAGAGCCGATCCCAAGAAGCACAGGGAATAAGGTAATTAAGAGGACACCCTGGGTGGGATTCAGGTCAATGAAAGGGCCATTCAGAGACACCGACTCACCTAAATGTGTGTTTTGGACTGTGGGAGCAAACCAATATACCTGAATCAAACTTGTATAAACAGGGAAAACAGACAATCCATACACAGAGAGCCAGGGGCAGCGGGAACGAGCCCACAGCGCCACCCCAAATATCTATTCATATTTCAGAAAGGGTTTCCTGTTCAGCGAGAAAAAATGCACTTTTCCACAGCACAGCAAAGTTAACGTTAACCGCACTGAAGCTGTGATTGTTATAGAAACAAAGGTCGACGTTTAAATCGGCGCAGTGCAGCTCCGTCCGTACGGCACTGTTCTATTCCTGGGTGACGTCATTATCTGACCATAAGCCGTGACTCGCCCATTTCACCAACAGCACTGTGTCAATAATCTACAGCTTAAACACAATGAACAAAAAGGTGATGTGAGTGCACAGTGTTACTCTTGGCTGATTTTCTAGTCAATATATTACAGTTCAGGAAATTGGGTCAAGTCTCTACTGTTAAGTGCGAAAATGCAAACTATCTTCAGGTAAAGCTTATTAAACGAAGTGCACTAAATTATACACCTTCTCAGTATATCATAATGTGCCGGTGTTTAATATACTTCCAGTTTTTATTGCATCGGAACATAGGCGGTTCGAAACCCTATTAAGATGGGCTGATTCATACCTGAAAAACAATTATTCTAATTATTCTAAAACGATTTAGCTATTTGTCCTGCTGTTTTGTATACATTTCGTAACCCGTTCGGCAAATTTTATCGTGCGGACCACCCACCAAAACAAAGCTCGCCCGTTTCAGCGTGGGGGACCCGGGGACCGTATTTCTTCAATGGGCTGAAAAGTCCGTAAGAGTCAGATCCTAGAATCGCCCCTACATCAGTTGTTAGGCCTACTGGTAATTAATTTTCCTTCAAAAACAGTGAACATAATAGCTTGTCAATATCATGTTTGGTTAATGGCCACGAAAACCACAGGCTTCAAGCGTCCAGAAAGTCTGTGAGTATGTTTGCGCAGGATTGCAAAACTGCAGAGTCGCAGTCAGTCAACTTTATAAGGAAACAGTAAATCGCATCTTGTAATTTTGCCGCTTGTTCTAGCAATATAACAGCCATCAGAGCGAGCAGGATGTTAAAAGGCTGCTGTTTAAGCGTGACGTGTCTGCGTGAACAGGTGATAACATCTTGGAAATTAAATGAGGAAACAGCAGATCGCAGTCCCCAAACGGAGGTCATTGCCTACCTGACCATGATGGACATCGCGGTTTTAGAAAAGCAATATAACTGGATTAAAGAGAAGCAAAAGCTACAGACTCATGTTGTCTTTTTCAGAAAAGGTAAGTATATTGCACGTAGAGGGAACGTGCATGACGTTATTAATGATTTCCTATTACTATATAATTCGATTGTCTTTTTTTGTCTGCGACGAAAAGTTTTTGATCTTTTTTTTTTTTAATTTTTGTACTTGGTTTTAATTTGGTACGGATTTTTAAATGTATGGCCTGGATGTTATTTTCCTCGATGTCTTCGTTTTTAAATTGGCCACAGGAAGGATTGTGGTTTTGGTACTGAAACAGAACGCCGATTTAGCTACTTCTGTAGCTGGGACAGTTAAGTATAAATAAAGCAGGCCGTAACAGCCAACTAACAATCATTTGACAGTAATTGTAATAAGACGTTTTAGGATATATGTATGGATGATGTAGTTAGTATTTACTTTCATTTAAAAATCGTTATTTTGTCTGAACATTATTTACGTTGCTGTTGCCAGAAGCTGAATGTTGCGATCTTTTATCTGAGCTTTGCAGATGAACATTTTTAATTTGGATCATATATAATGACAAGTGTTCCTTCATGTAAAGCCCAGCTTTGACACTTCGTTAATTTACCTTCTTATATGAAATGGTATATAATTTATTATAGTAAGCAGTCTCATAGACAATGATTTCCTAAAAGTCATTTCCCATTTAGAACTTTGATGTAGTTTCTTTAGTATTTTCTTATAATTTTTCACACTGGAACCCTTAAATAATAAAACGCAAACTCTCAACAAATCAAATAGGTCATATGTAGTTTCCTAAACTTTATTAATTATACTCATCCATATTCCCTAATCATGGGCACGGGATGACGTTTTGAGTTCAGGTTGCTAAAAGAAGGAACGACCCAGAGATCTTACTGAAGTTCTTCTTTATCATCGGTAGCCATCAACAGCTAACAACAGTAGTCTTTCTGGAGAAATAATCGTAAAGTCGCCTCTGTGCCATTGCCAGATAATTAACAGAAGGGTTTGTTTTTGTTTGTCGAACACTGCCGTAGTTTTCTGACACTTCATTACCGCCAACAGCCGGAGGGGGTGCTAAAGCTCCCTCAGCACCCCTACTTCCAGCGCCACTGTCCTAAACCACGTATTTAGCGCCTAGTCATCTGATCCTAGAGTCTATCCGTTGCAAGGCCTATATACCTACCATTCTGGGTATTTAAAGATAGCATTTCATATAAATGTATTTCTTTGGATTGGGGGAGCAATCCAGTGTAATTGGAGGATAATGCGATCCAAATATGCAAACTCCACACAGCCAGGAATGTTTTTTGAACCCCCAACCCAAAGGCCAGTGAGCCACCCAAGTATTTGATAGTTACTTAGCAACCATAATTATTGTTCTTAGCAGTAGTTAAATATTGCTTTTGGAGGCACATTGGACATTTAAGATGGTCTTTAAAAGTTGTTTTCTTTTTTATTCCCTGCAGCAAATGATAGAGAGATCTGTGGTAAATCCCTCATCAGTGTGGTTCCAATCAGCCAGGAAGTGAACACCTCCAAAGCTTTTGATGAGCAGTTGACCGTTCGAGAGATACAGTTTAATTTGCCCGGTGACCTTGACTGCGACAAAACTCCATGGCACGCCCACCTGGGAATGCACCGGATGACCCATGTGCAAAACAGAACCAAAGCTACCGGTGAAGTAAGAACGGACCACTCGGAATATCTCGGGAAGCCGGCTCCTATTGAAACGCACTCTGAATCAGTTTCTCCGGAAACAGTGGCCGAAGAGTCACCTGCAATCCTCGACGTTGAGTTCAGTGGTGGAGAGGCTAGAAAAGAAGGTTCTAGAAAGTTCTCTGCCCCAGCTGTCCTGTCAAGACAGCTGAGTGTGGCTGTCTACCAACCTTCCATGGCTTCCCAGAGCTCCCAGTACTACCCCTTCCCTCAGCGTAAATGTCCGAGGAAGTCTGAGGCGGCCAGGAGACTTGGGATGTATTCATCCTTCTAAATGGACAGAGAGGACAGCCCAAGATAACTCTACCTAAGAAGCCAACAAAAAGTATCTGTATCCAGTAAATCACCTTGCAAAATACAATGATAGGAAGTACACATTATTCAGTAGTTCATATTGACAGATTTTGCACTGTTCATGTAACCTTTGATAATTCCATTGATGTTGGCAAACCTTTAAGAATGGCAACTTCTCCATTGAGCTATTTGCAGATGATGCAGAAGAATTACGAAAGTCTGCTGTTATGAGAATTAACTGATGCGGAAAATATCAAAATTAATGAGGTTTGTTGTAATAGTATTGTTAGCCTTTAGCTGAAAAAATCTATTCATGTAAGAATAGGCTGTAGGTCACTTGACTTTTGTTAGATTTGTATTTTTGGTAATAATTCCTCATAAGATGATTATGATAATATTTATCAGCTTGTGTCAAACATTACCATCCTGTAATAAAGTAACACAGTTACAATGCCTTCATTGTCATAGTATTCTTCATTGTGGAAATGTCCATCCATCTTCCAGCTGCTTGTTTAGTGCAGGGTTATAATGTGCCTGGAAGCACAAACAGGTAATCCTTGGGCAGGATGCCAGTTCATTGCAAGGCCTTTGGTTGTTTTTCTATCAGGAAGTCACCCAGGGTCCGGCCAACTTAGTTAATATATTATTGAACACTACTCATATTTAACTTTGGGTGTGTTCTTTAATAGATTAACCAATCATTTCTATACCACTGATTTCATTCGCTGTAAGCAATGTCATCAAAACTGTCGGCAAATGCTAATTTGTAGGGATCCAACTACTTACTGATCGCCTTTAAACGTAACTGCATATAAAATATACTGTTAAAAATGTGCCATTTAAAAAATGTACAAGCATAGACGTGGTTATAATTCCTGGTACAATCGGCTTGTCCACTGTGAGATTTGACGTCGTAACCTGCACCACACCAGTGACAATGGTTTTTAATTTTTAACATAAGACCCAAAACATTGATTTCGAAAAAACAATTCATTCGATTTAACTTCATATGGTTACATTGACCCTAATGGCTTTCCGTAGTCAGGAAGTCTAGCAAGATAACAACAGCGCACTACGCAGCCGTGAACCCTCAGTAGATGGGACTGTCAGCACTTTATGATTAATTTATTTTTTGTCAGCACTTAAAGGTAAATCACTAACAAAAGTTGTTTTGTGTGTGCTTTGTTTGTTTGTTTTTTGTGAAACGTCGTTTTAACAGCTGTTATGTGAAACGGACGTGGCTTCAGCTAGTCAGATAGCTGCTTGTCATGACAGATGGGTTTCCCCTTGCTGGCGTGATAGTTTCGCTTTTCCTTCATTTCTTTCTCCATTTCCCACAGCAACCACAGCAACGAAAATGGCAGAAGAATATATGCAGTCCAAGCTGAGGGAATATCTGAAAAAGAAGGACATTAAGCTTTGGGAGTCTCCGTATACAAGTAAAGACAAAGAATCCGGACCTCAGGCAATAAAGGTACCGTTTAAGGTGGCTGGACCACTAGTCCAGTACTGTATATGTCAAAGATCCAGTACATAAAAAATACGGTGATCGTATCTTCTTGTTAGGCATTGAATTAACTTGGAAATTCACTGGAAAGTAAACCAAATTACTGGAATATTAACGTTATTATGTTCGTGAATAAATATCATGAAGCCTGGCACTTTGCTGCAGGAACTTGCTACTCAGTGCGCCTCCGCCTTGGGATTCCCCGAGTCTGAGGTCGAAGCGGCGCTGGAGTCCATCAGACGCCAGGCGGTGAAAAGGCTCAGTGGGAACAGCATGTATAAGGAGACCTGTGTCGCTACGCTGGAGCTCATCCTGCCTAAGACTCTGAAGAAGGTACTAATTAAATGACTGTGATGGGACAGGATTCGTACTAAATGACTGTGATGGGACAGGATTCGTACTTAATTACTAATAGATCAGGATTCGTTATTATGGTAAAACGGGATTAGTATATGTAGTCTGATGTCGACGTAGAAAATGCATAGACATCAATATTTTCAATTGGTGCGTTGTTCTTTATAATTATTTTTATTAAATTACCTTTATGATTTATAAAACGATTCAATCCAGTATAACAAATGGGGGACTAGCGATACACGAGCATCTGAAGAGAAAACACACGGGTGCTGTCCTGGATGACGGACCGCCAGAATAGGCATAACTACCTATTTATGTTTATTCAATTTCCATTAGTATGGAGAGCTTTTTAATAACTTTTGTCCTTATAGTTGCTAATTACACTCATTATTAAAGCCATAATGTTTTCTGCCTGCTACATTAGAATCAACACTAGTTAAGTGTTGGAGAAAATGTTTAGGCTACAATCTGGGCTTATTCTACGTTGATAGACAGTACCAGTGTGCGCGGCAGGCTTGCCGTTATCGTAAAATAAAACTGAAAGGAAAACAGAAACTAATTTTAAAAATCGTTAACTGAAATGAAAATGAAAACTATATTTACCAAAAAAAAACTGGTTGGATCAACAAAAAGTATACCGCCACCCCGCCAACATCTTTTTACTTAGTTTAACCTCAGTATCTCCTCTTTTAAAAGGTGTTGTAGTTGCAAGCCGTCCCTTTCTTCACCTCGAGATTAGTACTTATTCCTTCCATGATTTACCAATACAATAGCATGTGATGCTCTGCTAACCGAATTTAATAAGCATAAAGATACGTCAAATTTATACAGATTACTAACTTTTGGGCATCACAATACACATCTCATTAATATTTTAGACATACTACTAATCTGCTTATCAAACCTTGGTTGAAAATGATTTTCCTATAGTCCATTGTCAAATAAAATTAACTTAAATGAAATGGTCAATTGTTTAGATTAATCAACCAATCAGTAAAATAATCAATATATGAATCCATTGGAATAGTTATTAGTGGCAGCCCTAGACGGGATTCATGCTATATTTCTGTAATAGGACAGGATTTGTGCTAAATTACCATGATAAGACAGTTTTATACTAAATTAGTGTGATAGAAAATGATTCATTTAGTCGAGTCAGAGTAGTATACTGATATATTTCTAGGTCTGATTTACAGGGGTATCTGAACCGATGTTCCATTTTCCTGCTTTTATTTGTATAGTGATAACCATATTGGCATGTTTGTCTTGTTAAATACATCAAGGAACCTGGGAAAAGGACTTTTTTTGAAACGAAACTGGATGTTACAGCTCAAGAGGTGATGAATAAGTAAGTGACAGCCTGTGTTGTGGGGATTTTATACATTTTGCAATCAAATTTAAGGCAGTTTGATACTGTGGAAGCAAATGTTGGATTCCTGCTTGAGAAAAAATAAGAATGCCAGAAAGATGATATATAAAACCATCATCATGTCCACATTTTGCCTTTTATTTCTCAGGATATCTGAAAAGTATGAAATCAAGTACATCTCCTTGGTTTTTCGTGGAAACATATTGAATCCAGGTATGCATCTGTTTGCCATTATTATCAGAAGTGAGGGTACTTTTCCCCTGCGCCAGGTACCATACCTTTGGTAGGGTACTTTCGGTACTTTACCTTTTCCATTGACTTCTGGGTGAAAACCAGTACCAAATGTTCTAGTACCTAAAGTACCAAACCAGCTGTAGTACTTTTTTGGTACTTTGGTCCTTTGGGGTACAATGGTCCTTTGTCTATTGGTTATGCAAATAGCCTGCCTCTGAAGCAATACAAACAGTCATTTAAAGAAAAGTCACAAACTCAGAAAACAACGATAAACAAAGTAATAATACTGGATGCGTGGACAAATGAAGAGATTGAAGATTTAATTTCGATCTGGCCACTAGAACAAATACAGTACAACAAAATTAGGATGGCACTACAAGAAATAAAAAAACATATTTTATATAATGTACTAGGGAAGCACGGTAGTAGTAGTGGTCACATTGTGGTTTGTTTTATTTTGTATCATTCAGTGCTGGTACCAATTTTTGTCAGTGGAAAACCAACACAAAGAAATTGGTACATCAAAAAAATACCAAAAGTACGGTACCAGGTGCAGTGGAAAAGTGCTCTAAATGATAAAATCATAGAGTGAATGATTCTCAGCCATCCGGCGCATGCGATGAATCACTATCCTCCCCGCATCACCACAGATAAGAAACTGAATGAGCATAACATCAAACACAACTCCAAGGTCATGATTCTACAGAAGAGTGAGCCGGAGAAGCAGCAAGAAGTGGTGCAAGAAGAACAGAAGGTCAGGTCTCAGGATGAAAGCCTGAAGAGAACTCAGAAGGGCTTTGAGATTCTGTCTGCCAGAGGTAATAACTTTGGCCCTAGACCCTTTCTTTTGGGGAAGCTTTCCCTACAATGTGATGTCTTTATATCTCTGGCCCTTGGAGAATAATGGTGGATTTCATGTTCCCGTTGGCATCCCACGCATGACCGATGTGTTTCTTACCTGTGTGTTTCTTGTCCTTAGATGGCAGCGAGGACCCAGAGACTACGCCATATTTAGAGATTGCAGACCAGAAAGGAAATCCCCTGAAAATTCCACCCGATGAGAAGAAGGTAATGGTGGAAGCCTTGGACTCTGTAGGCAGCTACTCTTATAGCTGACTGACATGACGCTTGTCCCTGAACTGTTTCTTCAGGCTCTCATCCTGGCTATGGGCTTCCATGAGAAAGGCCGGGCGTTATGTAAGAAGAATGAACACCAGATGGCGCTGTATCATTTACTGGAGGCAGACAGTAACTTTAAGTGAGAATTAAGTCTTACTGGCTTCTTGCTTTGTTATGGCTCATCGTGTAGCTCCTGCTCCAATGCTGCTTACACCTGTACTTGGGTCCTGTATCATGAAGCTGGTTTTTTGGGTTGGCAGGACAACTTGTCGGATCTAAGTTAGTCTGAGGTAAATGTGAGTCAACGAAGATAGTGTATTTAAATTTGGTAATCTAGCTGACCAACAGATCATGCTTTGTGATACAGGCCCCTGGGCATTGATTGGAAGCTCAGCCTAGTTACATATGCCCAGCTGACTCCTTGACAGATGTGTGTTTGAAATATGCCATTTGCCTCACTCATATGTCACGTTGGACAAGAGCATCTGCTACATAAATATATAGTTACCTTATTTATATTATAATTGTAAAGAAAGCATATTGGGTTTGCATGTTCTTCTCGTTTGTGAAGCTTTCCGTCCAATGTCCAAAAATATCACAGTGTCTGAATTTCCCATAGTGCAGGAGTGTTCACATAAGTACTATGGTGGACTGTATTACCTTGCTTTGTACCGCTAAATAACTCTATACTGGGTATTCGGTTACGGAAGATGGGTGTCTGTGTGTGATACGGCCGATCCGCTGTGCTCCTGACGACCTCACTGTTGTCTCTGCCTTCGTGCCCCTCCTCCATGCAGTAAGTGCCGCTCTGCGCTGTTGAACACCGTGGACAACTACGCCGTCCTCCAGCTGGATATTGTGTGGTGCTACCGTATGCTGGAGATGCTCACCTGTCTGGACGAGGCAAAGAGGAGGCTGGAGAAGGCCGAGGAGTACTTCCTCAAATGCTACGGGGAGCAGAAGGAGAGGCTCCTCCAGATTAAGGTGCGCTTGAGAACATCTCACCTGCCGCACATGGGTCTTCCATCTTTGTCCCTTATGGTTGTTTACTACAGTTTATTACAGCCTAGACACTTCCTGCCATGGTTTATGTTTGATATGCTCGATCATGTCTGTATTTGAAGTGACTAAGTTTACCTGTTTATAGAGCTTTATATTATAGATTTATTCTCTTAACTCTGTTTAGATTTACATGTAAGTTCAGGTACCCACCCTATATGGTAGACAGGCCATCAATTTGAAGCCCATTTTCTGTTGCAGTGTCAGTGTAGTTACTGTGTTCTGCCTTTGTTGGGCAGTGTAGCTGGTCAATTTAATGGAAGACCCCTATGGAGTCATGAGTTCATGTCCTTAACCTTTTTTTTAAATGTCACTTTCAGTATAACTATCACTGACAGAGTGACACTGCCATGAGGAGTAGTTTAAGAAATATTCAGTGTTTTTTATGCCACATTAGGTGGTTGAATGGCGGAGCTGGGATTTAGGGGCTTTTCAGAGCACCTGGCTCTCTGCACGCTAATTTGAAGGGCGCTGTGTCGTCGCCAGGGCAACACTGGGCGGGAGGAGGTTCTGTTCCTGAGGCTGTACCTGCTGCAGTGCCTGGTGGCATGGCTGAGCGGGAACGAGCAGCACGCCACAAAGCAACTGGCCAAGGTGATTCATCTGGAACCCTGCCAAGCTCGACTCCCTCCCCGCCTCCCTCGCGCTACCCCTACCTATGGCAGCTGGTCCCGTTGCAGGTGGAGAAGCTGTACAAGGAGCTGCACATGGACCCAAATAAGATCTCGAGGGTGACCGAGCTAGGCTTCACCACCCAGGAGGCTCGCCTGGGCCTGAGGGCCTGCGACGGGGATGTCAGTGCGGCTGCCACCTACCTCACCGACAGGAAGGAGGTTTGACCTTTGACCTCTCCTTTTACGTTCCTGGACACTAAGCAGCCCAGGTAGAAAAGCACTAATCACATCTCAGATAGTCAGTTCATCCATCTGCCTGTCGTTATTTATTAACATCCAATCAGTCGGCTAGATTTCAGAGCCAAAGCCAGAAAATGCAACTTAAGCCAAAACGTCATCTGTTTAAACACTAAGTGTCACTTTTGTAGATGGATGAGTGTCTTTTGCATTCTAGAAAATGATTGTTTTTAAGTAAGCAGAAGTTGCATTGTGATGGTGAATCGGGGAGGGGCCGGGGATGCTAAGGTGTACCTCATCATGCAGGAGAAGCAGAAGATGAAGGCGGAAGAGAGGCAGAAGAGGAGGCGTCGCCTGGAGGCCATCAACACCCTGCAGGAGTTGGGCTACTCCAGGAAGGAGGCGGCCAGGGCGCTCCATCAAGCCGAGGGGGATGTGGACAGGGCTTATAATGTGAGCACTGGGCCGCACCTGGGTGGAGGGATGTGCACATGGCTTTTAATGTGAGCACTGGGCCGCACCTGGGTGGAGGGATGTGCACATGGCTTTTAATGTGAGCACTGGGCCGCACCTAGGTGGAGGGATGTGGACATGGCTTTTAATGTGAGCACTGGGCCGCACCTGGGTGGACGGATGTGGACATGGCTTTTAATGTGAGCACTGGGCCGTACCTGGGTGGAGGGATGTGGACATGGCTTTTAATGTGAGAACTGGGCCGCACCTGGGTGGAGGGATGTGGACATGGCTTATAATGTGAGCACTGGACTGCACCTGGGTGGAGGGATGTGGGCAGCTGTAACTGGGCTTTGAGTGCGTCTCCATCCTGTGTGCAGATCCTGGAGGAGGCCAATAATAACGCTGGAGAGGAAGATTCAGAGGCCAAGGTACAGAAGGTAAACCAGAATACCGTCATAATACGACCCAGTTTTGTTTCATTTCTGAATGGTCCAACCTGTGCAACAGCACCTCTCAGCCACTAGAGGTCACCTCATGTGTTCTTCCCCCCTACAGCTGATCTACCTGGGATTCGAGCGGGAACAGGTGGAGGCCGCCCTCAGACAGGCGCAGGGTGACATCCAGCAGGCCTCCGAGCTCCTGCTGGCTGACAGAGGCGCAGTGGCCCCTGGTCAGCTGTCCCCCTCCACGCCATCCTCCCCCTCCGAAGAACCGAGCACCTCCTCTGAGTCGACTGGTGAGTATCACGCCTGCTTAGATAGGAGAGACACCCACCTTGGCGCATTCCGTCTGTCACCACACGGTCCTGTGGTGATTTCGGGGCTGTATCACGCATTTCAGGCACTGGAGGGCAGTGGCCGTATACTAATAGATTAAAGTGATGCACACATGCTCTTCTGAAAAATCCACAGTCAATGTAATTTAGTGATGTGGTTCACTTGCATTCCTGTTAAGAGGAACAGGCTTGTGCCAGGGGTGTACACAGGGGTGCAGTCACAGGGGCACTGGTCACAGCTGAAAACCGATTGGCCCTTGGAGTGCGCCCTCTCCCGTCACTCACCACACTCAAAACATATCATTGGCTAATAATGAGGTTGGTCCCTCTGTATGAATTACAGCCCCGATCTTCACCTTTCCCACTGACGTGTTGCGGTCTCACGCAGGCCCCGGGAGCTCTGGGGAGGAACCGATGGATGTCGATCTGGTCAACGAGGTCTTGGATGACATCTCCAGCCACGAGGAAGATTACTTGGATCTCACACTCGAGGATGAGTTGGAGCTGATTAACCAGATGAAGCAGCATCTCAAGCCATATCTCCAAGAGGACAGCATGTCACCCAGCTAAGCAGCCTCTTTGTTTTTTTGCAGTCGGTTGTTCGATTAGGTATGAGGATGTTGTACAGGTTTCTTTTTAGTTTTCGTTAATAACCTATTGCAGGATTCCCAGTTTAATTCCAGTTTATTCAGAATTTTTTATTATTTTTTGATAAAGTCAGTTCGAAAATTCGGTGAATACGCTATATTCACAAGGAATTAAAAAACTTGTATTGTTCAAATGACAAGAAAAAATCGAGGTTGTAGTATTGGGGGATTCCTGGAAAAGTTGGTGCACTTTAGCCCAGATTTTACGTGGTTTGGATCTGAGGATTTAATTTTCACAGGCTGAAGAACTGGCAAATGAAGGAAAAAATGCTGATCTGTATATTTTTGTATCAATTTGTTTTTGGCTTCACCTTAGTGCCGTCACCGAGAAACCATGATATCAGTATTTCTGTTCTTTCATTCATTTAAAAACTAAACATGACATTTATAGAATTTTAATATATGGGCACAGCTGGTGACTATTTTTTCTGCATTTTTACAAAGGGATAATTTTGGTTAGTTTGGAAAATTACTCTGTGACATTGGAAATGATTGTGCTTCCTTCAGATCTCAGATGTTTATATAGAATGATATTTTGTTTGAAATGCAATAAATTTTCTGGGTTTTGTTTCAAGTTCACCGACTGTCTGAAACTGAAACTTAAGTGGCTGATGTATCATTACACATTTTGCACAGCTTGATGATGTCCAGCTATGTTTTTCCTTTTTCTTGGTTGTTTTTGATGCTTAGTGATTTCAAAAAACTTTCAAACGCTATAGGAAAAGCTAGAGAAAAGCATCTTTGTGGAAACGATCATGCCATATCAACAGTATCATGTTTACGCTTTTCCACATTTGTAAATAATGCCAGCTTAGGTTGTGAGTTAAAGGAGTGTAAGGCATTGGTATACTCTGGTATACTCTGTGTGGGCTGCTGGTCCCTCACAATCACACGGTGGGCAATTTAAAGGGGCTGCTCAGCTCCCATGTCTTATCAGCACAGTAGGAATCCTGGACAAACAATCTCCACAGACACTGAGCAGAGGCAGGGTTCCAACCCCCAGTCCTGGGGGTACCACCCACCAGTGCTGTCCAGTGAGCCACTCCATGTGATTTTCAGTTGCATTCATTTGTAAGGGGTTTATGTTTCTAGGTTATTTCGCATATGAACTGTAGGAACTTCTGTTGTGGTCAGCATCCCATAATCTCCTTATAACATTTTATTTTCAACAATACCACCGTCCGTCTTCCAGCTGCTTATCCAGTAAAGCAGTGTGTCCCAGCCCGGTCCTCAAGGGACCCCCCCCCCCACCCAGACAGCACCCATTTCTGCTCCCTCCCAGTTCCCAGCACACCTGCACCAGGTATTTGATGTTCTTCATTTTTCGGTTTTGTCCCTGAGGATGGGGTGCAGGATTGATTGGGGGGGGGGTTGCAATCTATTCCATGAAGCTCAGTGAAAATGGCAGCGTGCACCCTGGGTGGGATGTCAGTCCATCGCACGGCACACACACACACACACACACTTTACTCATCATGAACCTCGCTTAACTTGACTGCATGGTTTTGGACTGCGGAGGGAAACCATTTCAGATCTACCCGCCTTCTGTATTGCTGGATCAACTTCCCATCCAACTTCAAAAACAAACCGAACGCCAGATTTAATTGGAAGAAAAAATGTTGTCCCCTTCTTATAAACACAAACAAAATATATATCAGTGTGATAAAATATAATGTTGGGTTTTATTCATGTCCACTGAAATGATCGATCAACTTGAGCCTACGCTGCTTAAAAGTAGTTGACAACTCGTCGGATGGACTGGATGTGGGGGTTCTGGGCATGCCACTCGCCAAAATCACAGTAATTCCCCCTCTCCACGATGTACATTCGGCCTCGGTAGTTTGGCTCCTCATACAGTACCCATCTGTGCAAGCAGGAGGGAAAACGCAAACAATCAGGCATAAATGGCTCCCTCTTGTGGACAAATGAAAAATCAGACAGTGAGAGGTCTCCAGGTTAAGACCCAGCAGTTCATTTTTGTCCCCTCTAGGGGACAAGAGTTTCTGAAACCTGTTGTACTGGACATCCTGGGATTTTCAGGCTAATACACAGAGTGAATCCTGGAGAAATGTGATCTTTTCAACTCATATTTGTCATTATTAAAGGGCCGGTAGCAAGCAAGTGTCTTTTATATTGATATTGTTGTTTCTAGATAAATTTCAGTTCATTGTGTGATGACTCTCTGAGGCTATTCTGTGATTTATTACCCTGGTATTTCAACCTTTCTCAACACAGTAACATTATGGGGGCAATGTGGCTCAACAGGTTAGGTTAGGACCCTGTGTCCCTTAATCCCTTAATCAAATTTGGGCTCCGAACCTTAAACAATCAGATCTATATGTGTGAACCTGGGTCATTTCAGCTGTGCAGACAGATGGGTTCTAAGCAAGACCGCGAGGATACACAGCCCAGAGGCGGAACCAGGGCAACTTACGCGCCATCGCCATAGACGCGGAGGGAATTGACACAGTCACTGCTGAATCCGCGGCCTTGCAGGAAGGGGCAGTCCTCACAGAACTCCGTGCAGCGGCCGGAGAAATTGTTGCCTTCGTGGAGCTCAATTCTGTAGCGCTCACCATGCTTGGTGTGGCGAGGGGTAGGAAAACAACGGTCATGGAAGGGTGGGCACAGCGATGATGTTAGAGAGACAGTGAACTGTGCCAATTCAGTTAGGGAGTGCCACTAAAATCCAACCCTGCATGAAATCAACATGAAGTCACTATCTGAAGTGCAACCCCCAAGCCTCACCATCCGAACAGTCCTGCAGGAGCCCATGTGGTCATTGTGGGCATTCCAGCGCTGGAATTCTGGGTACTCGCCTCTCTCCAGGATGTACTGCTGTCCTCGGAAGTCTGGGTGGTCGTAACAGATCCAGGCACCGCTCTCCACGCGGATGGAGTTCACGCGGTTCATGAAGCCCCAGTCCTGGAAGTTATCACACTCACCGTATACCTCCAGACACTTCCCCGTGAAGCATCGCCCCTCGTAAAAGACTATCTGCAATCAGAGATGGTTGGAGTTGGACACCATTACTTATGGCTGCTAGCAGGGGGAGTAGGGCATAACAAACTTGACTTGTAGCCAAAAAGGTTGCAGGGTGAAATTTCAGGAAGGTCATTCCTGCAGAATCCCCTAGCTGTGCAATATGACCTATTTCAACGTGCTTTACATAAAGCACCTAGTGAACAACTGAGCTTCAATGACAGCTTTGCAACTTCTTGTATTCCTACAGGTTTCTGACCTTAGATAAAAAGCATGAATTATGGCTTTACCATTATCCACACTCACACACTCATGCCCCCCCCCCCCCCCATGGGTAGCCCTGCACATTGTGTCTATGAAATCGATTTCTCTCTCATCTGTCACAGAAATGTAAGTTAATGCTTTATGGCCACAATTATTCAAATTGATGGTTAAAATGTATAAGTCCTACATTTTTTCTTTAAAATCATTTAAAAATACATTCACTGTAATCTTCCTTGCTGTATGGAGAATGAAACGTGACTCAAACAAAAAAATAAATAAATCCTTGGCATAAATATATGAATAAATAAATCTATAGAATGAATTAATGAATATTTATGTATTCACGCCAAAGATTTAGTTATTGATTGGTTTATTTTCTGATTTGTTTTTTCATTTTTCTTTTACAGATTTATTCGCTTATCCATTTCTTCATTTCTATGTTAATGAGGTGGGCGGCATTTATATTTTTCTAAAGCAGTATTGGTCAGGTGGACGGTGCTGATCTGTGCTCCTTTGCCTAGACCTTCAACCTGTCCGTCTATAAAACTACAGCCGTATACTTCAAACGATGCAGGGATAAAACAAAACTAAACACATTGACGAGAACGATCTGCCATTTGGTTGCAATTTTTCAATGCACCAGACCAATGTACAGAGTGCAAATAAATATATTGTGGGGACTACAAGTCATTTTAATAAAGGAGATGACAGCTCTTTTAAAATGGAAGTTGCTCTGTTTATTAACAGCCACCACTGGTCAATACTAGACTTGACACAGACAGGGAAGCAAACAATTTACACAGCATTACAGCTACATGCTAACAAAACACATGCATTCTGTGGCAAACAAACATGGTTACATTTATTCATCCACCTATTTTACTCGCCTGTCCTAGTTGGGGTCACAGGGGTCTGGAGGCTATCCCAGAAGCTACAGGCACAAGATGGGGAATAACCCAGGACTGGGAGCCAACCCATCGCAGGACACAATCACACTCACACACAGGTTTGTAATTATATCCTTGTGAGGACTCTCCATTCATTTCTATGGGGACAACACTAATCCCAACATGACCTCAACCCCTACCTAGCCTTAACCTTAACCATAAGTAACCAAACAAAATTCGAGACTTTTGGCATTTTTAGTTTTTTGATTGCATTCACAGATCCTTGCGGGGACCTGAAAAGTGGTCCCCACAACGTCAAAATAGCAGGTTCTTATCACATATTGTGGTCCCCACAATGTAACATAAACATAATCCACCCACGCACACCTACAGACAACTTGGTATCTCCAATTCACCTCAGCATGTTTTTTGGCTGTGGGGGGAGGAAACCCCACAATGATAGAGGGAGAACATGCAAACTCCACACACAGGGAGCCATGGCGGAGACACGAACACAGGTCCCAGAGGTGAGGCAACAGTGCTAACAATATTTACTGTTTACAGAATGAATGCATATATTAATTTACACTATTTACGAATATGTGCTGTGCAAAGCATGCTGGTAACCGCATAATTAGTTCTGCTGACCAACCCTGCAGCATCACACTATGAGCCAATCATCGACAGCGGGTGGGATCGGGGCCCCTACACATGCAGAGTGCCGAAACACTGATCAATGCTCATACGACATTGTATTGCTAAAATGAGGTTGATTTCCTCAGTTTCATTTGAAGGATGTGGCCACTTAGCATTCAAGCTATTTCCCTTAGCAGTCCAAATGGAGGTTTCCTTCTGGGAGTCATTGCGTGAAGAGAGACAAGTCAAGATAACTAGTCAATCACATGCTTCTGCCTCGTTTGCCCACCTGGCCAATAGTACTTTACAAAAAGGTTCGGGCTGCCCACCTCATTAACATACAGATGAAGAAATCCGTAAAGCTGGAAATAAATAAATCAATAAATACATCTGGAAATAATTTTTGGCATGAATAAATAAATCTAATTTATCCATTCATTTACTCATTATTTATTAATTCATTTATGCCAAAGATTTATTTATTGATTCATTTATTTATTTGCAAGTCACTTTTCATCCTACGTATAGCTATGCCCCTATTACTCTCGCTTTCGAACCCTAACGATTTCTCGGTTTCTGCAGCAAGTCAGCTGTGTCCGTCGGGGCCAGAGCCAGGGCACGGCCTGGATACTTACTTTTCCCGAGTACTGTGACATTTTCCACCGGAGGCCGTCCAAACTAAAGCGGGCAGCGGGAGAGTGTGACAGCCGAAAAAAGCTGGATGGTCCAATATATACGGCGAGGCCCCTGGGACCCAGCTCTACTCAGCCCACTCCACAATGGGGGGGGCTTAGAGATTGTGCCTCATAGACACTTTCCCTTATGCCAGTCTGTGCTGATTCTGGAGTTTGGCTTCCAGGGAGATGTGTGTTGGCAGGCAGCACAAAGAATTATGCTTGGATTGGAGGATTTGGGAACCGCTTTTGCACTTTCGCCCCTGTCGGCCTGGTTTTAGGGTTAGGGTTAAAGCACTATAACCCTGACTGCATGTATTAAATGTGTAAGAAGGGCCTGTTAGCCCAGTAGGGGGCCTTACAGTTAGAGAGGCCTAGGGTTAAGGCTAACGCTAACCCTGACTGCATGTATTAAATGAGTAAGAAGGGCCTGTTAGCCCAATAGGGGGCCTTACAGTTAGAGGGGCCTAGGGTTAAGGCCTATATACTTTCACTCAGCACATCAGTGGTGTGTTTTTTCATCTTAATCCAGCCATAGGAACTGGATTCCACACAGCTGGGTTGACTCTGTGATAAAAATGCTGCCACCTTCAGTCTGACAGGTCCCACACATTTGTATCAAAGTAGTGCCACTGCTCCTCAGCATTGAATGGAGCCAGTTGAGATGGTTTGGGCATCTATCTAGGATGCTTCCTGGACGGCTCCCTGGGGAGGTGTTTTGGGCGTGTCCAACCGGGAGGAGGCCCTGGGGCAGATGCTGGAGAGATTATATCTCTCGGCTGGCCTGGGAACGCCTTGGTATTCCGCCGCTGGAGCTGGAGGAGGTGGCTGGTGAGAGGGAGGTCTGGGCATCCCTGCTTAGACTTCTGCCCCCGCAACCCAACCTCAATTAAGCAGCAGAAAATGGATGGATGGATTGATTTATAATGTCCTATGAAAGATTAGCATGTACATGTGACCTTTTTCACTCACTTTTGTCCTTATTGATTGCATCAGCTAATCCCATGAGTTTAGTGTTACCAAATTCAACTATTGACAGACCACACCCTTGTCCCGAGTCTGGGAAACAGATCACCTCTAAGATATGAACCATTCACTCAAATCAAAGGAGGGCTGCATAATATCACATCTCGGTAGGTGACATTTCTGTTAGTAACACTGCGATATTTATGAAACAAAAGAAGATGAAATTATGCAAAATAAACTATAGCCAAATAAGACTTATCTAACAATAAGTGTGTGATATAGGTCGGTGGCGTTTGCCGCGAGGTGTGTCAACACACAAAGCAATAACGACAAATGTGATGTGATTATTATGCATGCGCAAGGTACATTGTGCAGCCCTAAATCAAAGGAAAATATCAAAGATCAAATGTTAGTGCCTTTGGGAATCTATTTGTTTTTATGTTCTTCTGCTGGTATTACATACTGTATGATGAGTTGTCTAAACTAGTCCAAACAGCAGGGCTGTACTATTTTGGACGTCAGTAAAGAAACAAAAGACCACCAGCTCCGTCATCCTGTCTCAAACCTCAGCGGAAAGCAACAAACCTCTTGCAGATGTTCCAGCAGTGTCCAAAACACCCCCATCCCAGCTCAGAAGCTGATCAACCACAGAGCATTTTACTCATTTTTTTACACTAAACCTTAGTTATTTGTTCAGACACACATCTAAACAAATTATGTTCACACGTGCCCCCCCTTAGCGGCGGCCCTGGGTGCGAGTACCTTAGGACATGGCAGGATGTTTGCAGGAGACCATCCTATAACTACATAAGTTTTCTCAGCTTAATGTATTGACCATCTGCACTTGTTTCTAATTTGATCCCCATCATCTGTGTATATATACTCCTGCTCTCCTCTCCAGGTCGGTCATTGTTGTTGTTGCTTTGTCAGTGTATACTGTAGCTCCTGTCAGTACCTTATCTGTTGTTCCTTCCTGTATCTCTGGGTTCTTTCTGATCCCTCTATTAGTTCTCCCTTACCTCTCTTTTGACCCCTTGAGTTCTTTTTGAGTTCCAGTCTTTGTTTGTATCTTTAAGAATAAAACTTCCTTCGTTGAAACCCATGCCGGCGTATGGATCGTCACTCCCTACTGATATCCGGCTGTGACAGATAGCATGAAGGGGAATAGATCTTAGAAAGGAGATGAGGAGCTTGGAGACGCAAAGTCACAGTATGACCTTAAGAGCAGTAATGATTCAAAGAGGCTAGTGGGTACTACTGCTGAGCAGGACAGCAGAGCAAACTTAAAATTATTAGTTAAATTCCCTCCAAGCCAGCTAGATGGGCCAAATGACCTCCTCTCATTTAACTTTATGTTCTTAAACCATTGTAGAAGTGTGGGAAATGCCCAGAGAAGGACACAAGTTCAGTGAAGAATCAATGACATGAGAACTGCAGTATCACCTTTACAGCCTTTACTGGCTAAGTGGCATGGAAGATGGGCAGGTGGATGGTGCTGCATTGTAGAGATGTGGACCTGTTTGCAGATAAAAACATAAATGGCGTGAGAATCATGGAAAATCTCTCTGCCTGTGACATTCATGGGAAAATAGAGATGAAAGGGATTAGCAAACGGCAGATGGTTTAATGTCTCCGTCTCTCACAGGAGGTGGTTTGGTGATCTGAGACACTGCATTGGTCCCTTTGGGGGCATTTGGATGTGGGCCTCCTGAGGTCCCGACCCCCCCTGGCAAACTTGGTAGATGAATTGCACGTATGCATGGATTTCGGGCAGTCAGAAATCTGCACAAATGTTGCGATTTATAAATCCTGAAATTGACTTGGAAATGTTTCCACGCCTAGGTTCCAGATCATAAAGCTTATTAGATTTCCCCTGTGGTTGCCAAACAAAATATTGAATGTGTCTAAGCAAACGCTTCCTTGGTTTTTCCACAGGTGTGACATTTAAAGTGTTTACTAATCAGATTGTAAGCTCTTTAATTCAGACAACTAAATGTGAATACTTAAAAAAAATGAATACATCTTTTCGAATGCTATTAAATAATAACAATTTGTCATAAAATATGTGCCACGAGAATAAGCTATTAATCAGTAAGAAACCATTTTTGCTTTCAACATAAAAATTGTTTCAATGCAAAATAGAATATCACAAACTCGAAAGATGCAGACATCATTGAAACAGGATACGGAAAATGATAAATATGTCATAGAGCATAATTCAGCAAGGTACCACAGGGCAGGAATTCTTAATGAAAGCTATGGTGCATTCCAAGTTTTCTGTTCAGGTCTGATCAAACATTTTTTATGGTATATTAAACCAAGACACCTTATCTAATCAGAGAACTGTTTACTAAAATTTTCTTTGCAGATTCCCAGTGATTTTTCTGCTAATGTAACTGACTTGTCAATTAGCATGTTGACAGCTAACAGCTCAGTGATATGGTTCATGTTACCCCATTGGTAGCTAACACTAAATTGCACAAATGTCAGTGAGCACATAAGACGACAATAATTCAAATTGCAGTAGAACGTTTAGTGTAACGTATCATGCTGATGCTCTTGAAGAGTAATAAAAATAGTTGTTAATAACAGAAATTAGAAACTGTTGAGTCACACAGACATTGGCAGATATATGTATGTATTTGTAAATTGAAGTTGTTTTTTTTTCCCAATACAAGATAAACAAAAGCTAACAATCATCAGTTCAACATCATACAGAGTCTGACAAAAAAACAAAACAAACAAAAAGAAAATGATTGTCATTGAGTGCGCTTCACAAAAACTCTGAATGAATAAATAATCCGCAGGATTTCAGATATTTACAATATAAACAATGTGACAATGACGATCATTTGACTGGACGTGATGCAAGCTGGCGAGTTTTATCGTGTTGGTTATTCCTCCTTCAACACAATGATGTCGGAAGCAGTTACAGCAACGACAACTTAACATTCAGGATGTTGGGGGTCAGGGGTCGGCTTCGGCTATACGGGACATACCGCTGTGCTTCGACGAAGAAAACTAGGATAAGGAAATCGGAAAGAAACATATCGACGTTACGTAAATTGCATTCCCCACGAAAAAGCAGAAATGACACTTCCAGCGAGGATAGAGGCGGAGAACTGGTAAGGCGAGAGCCAGAAAAAGTGAGACTGGGAGAGGTGAGTGGTGAGTATGACGCCACACTCCTGTAGCCGTCCTGCTAGCTAATGCAGATGGACATGTCACTGTGGGGATAGCTATGGGTGGTGCAGTTCTTGCTGTACACGCAGAGCGGGGGGGTGGGTGGGTGGGGGCGTGGCCAGGAGGGCGGCGCCAACACCCAGTCCTGCCGAATCGTGATCCTTCGGCGGGCCCGGGTGCCGTCGCTCAGAGCGACAGACCTCGCCATCTAGACGTAAATTCCAGACATGGAGTCCCAGTCCAGCTAGGTGGGGCTAGACAAGATGGAGCCGATCCGGGCCGACTTATCCAGAACTCAAGTACTCCAGTGCAACTTCATAGCAGAACTTGTACTGATCCTGCAAGAGTACAATTAGACAATGTATGGCACATCAAAAAAATAAAAAACAAAAAGACCCATTTATCTGTATTATGTTTGTCATATCGATTTATACTCATAACAGCCGTAATAAATTGCCTCTCTTCCCCTTAGCAAAGCAAAGTAATTCACATTCATCAGCATGCTTCCTCCAGTATGAAATTATTATTTATATCATCACAACTGCAAATTCAGATACTGATTTAATTTAGCTGACACAAATCCTTGCGTGTTGTTTTGCTGTTTATTATTTAATATTTTATCGTAAATAACTGCTTATTTTGCGCCTGTTCTCCATGGACTTGCAGATTTTAGTTAAAAACTCCTTTAGCAGACACTTTTGTCCAAAGCAAGGTTAGGATCAGAGAGCAGGGCCTGACAGTGTCCCTGCAGCAATTGGGGCTTAAGGGCTTTGTTCAAGGGAGCAAAGGTTGCATCACTCTGCTGGCCAGGGGCTTTGAACCCACAACCTTTCCGGTCGTAATCCGCAGAGGCACACATGGGTGTTTTATTTTATTGTGTTATGTGTACTTATCAATCTAAAATGTTCTCTAATGTCATTACTAGGTGTTTATGGGTAAATGGTTTATGAAGAGCTGTGTGTAATGTGAAGTGAATCTGATTATAGACTATCCACTGTTTTGAAATTCACAATAATAACATGTTTCCATTTTTGCGGAAAGAACAGTCCATCAACCTCAACAGTATAGCGTCTTAGTCTTAGCTGTCCAATATGCTAGTTGGCTGGTTATAGTGGATTGTTAAATTAATTCAGCAGGCTGACAGTATATTTGATTCCTTTTATCCAAAGCGACTTATATTAGAGGGTTTACAATATGTATACATTCCCTGAGATTTGAACGCATGACTGCTGCGTTGTTAGCACAATGGTGCACTTGTAGAGCTACGGGCACTGACACACGTGCAGAAAAAGACACGAGCGTCACTGAGGAAAGCAGAGCAGAAGTAGGGAAGGCCTCCTACCAGCAGGTCCACCATGTTGGGCTTGTTGTTTCTTAGGGTTTTGACGGCGTGGAAGACGTCCACGGCGCGCTGGTGACGCAGCATCTCGCACACGATGCTGATGGCGCAGAAGGTCCCACTGCGACCCCCCCCGTTCCTACATGTGGGGGGGTGAAGATTGAAAAATAAAAACTGGGAGTCATGAACGGGAAGCTCTGCTGTGGGACATGTCTCATCTTGACCAATGAGATCTATACAGTGCAAATTTCACTCTAATTTGGGGACCATGACCAGAGTACGCTGTCCTGTTTAATATGAAACAGTACGATTCATCTTTAAAGAGGCCTGTCGTGATTTAAGAGGATAGTTAAATTATAAAGGCAGATAGAAAATAACATGAATGTTGACATGGGTGTATATATAAATTTTGACCCATATTCCTAATTGCTTTAACTTTGGACATCTCATGCAAAGTGGACCATCTTATTTTCCTTTGATTTGAAGTCGGCTGTCGCTGCAGTGTTCAGGGTTGAACAGTAGATGGTGCTGCTCAGCTTTTTATTCATCAGGGAAACGCAGCGGCACATGTCAGAAGACCGTCCGGAAGCTCATAGTAAACATTATGATTGTGGAACCGCTGTTTGCTGACATTTAGAACATGCTTGTTTGTGCTGCCTATGAACATTAATTATAAGCATTCTGTGCCCTAATTACTGTCCCGTATTCAGCACCAAACCTGCACCCCTTTTAAGAAGGAGATGATTCCAAGGGCCCAAATATTCAGAAAATAATTGAATAGGTCTGGGTTGGGGGCCCGATATAATATGCTTTCATAGCAGCACCCCTGGTTCCAACAGACAGTAAATTTTCACAAGTTTGCTACAGCATGGAAGCCAGATTTACCCAAGAAACACAGCTTCCCCCCCAAATATTCCCCATGAGGAAGAAAAGATAACTGTTACTCTTAGTTCATAAAAGCCCATTTATAGAATCATATCAATTGAACCAGTCAACATCTATACTCAGCATTATAACTATCGAAATTTTTTGTCACAGCTTTCTGAATTAAAAATGGCTTCCGTTATTTAGTTGGCTAATAGTAATGCTCTCCCGGATAATCACGTTAGAACATCGATAAATGTGATTGCTTAGCCCACTCCTTTAGCTAGCTAATTTAGCAAACTATTTCATGCGCTATAGCACCAGCTGAAGAAATTCTAGGGAAAACCTCACCTAGAGGCACGGCAGAGCCTGTCAGGGGCTGGAATCAGCAACCTATTTGTCAGAAGCCTGGTTTTTGAGCACTAGACAGCGGGCCGGTGAGAAAGACGCCAAACTGGCAGGCGATCGACATGAATGAGTGCAGGTCTCTGATGGGCGTGTTTCTGAATAGACTGAATTAGTGTAATAGAACTTTCAAAATAATCGAAATAATGTTCTGGGTCTACCAGTCTTGCAGCAGTACAAATGTAGCGAAAACAAGAACATAATTCATGGCTTAAACAATTCATGAACATTGTGCAATTTTGGACACAGTGAATTCAGGAGACCTGAGACCGACACTGATTTAGGAAGAATCATCACTTAGAGTCTGAGACCCCCCCCCCACCCAACTCACAGGCAGTGCACCACTGTGCGGCCCTCCCCGCCATCGTACTCCTCCTGCCACTTCTCCACCTGCCGGATGAGCTTGAGGAAGGAGCGCTTGGAGACGGGCGTGTCGCGGTACATGGGCCAGCCCAGGAACTGGAACTGCTGCACCATGCGGTAGCCATCCTGGGGCTGAGGAGAGGAACATGGCATCAATCAGGGGGGCGGGGGGGAGAAGGTGGCCCCGTTTGCCGGAGAGGCTGGCAGACTGGGGGCTGTACCCATCTCGGGAGACTGCCATGTGACTATTATAGCTGTGGTTACGCGTCCCACCCGTTTGCCATTCCCTGCATATTAGTGTGAGCCCATATCTAAATATCCATGCCCTGAGGAGCCTACATACTGTCCTTAGGTCCAGCAAGTCATTTCTGATTTCATTCTCTATAGAGGACATTGTGCTTTTCCCCATATCTCTCATACTGTACATTCCACTGAACTGGACACTTCTGGGTTAAAGACCACTTTACATGTGAGGCAGTGTGCTTTTTACCATTCCAAAACTCAATTTCTACATTAAACTTATTTACAAAAATCTAAATTTGTTTTCTTGGGTGTGAGGAGATTATGCAGTGTTAGCCTCTCCCCCCCGACCCCCCCCCCTAAAAAAAGTGGTAATTTTGTGTCCACTCAAAAGGCTGCTTTATCCTGCTTGCTGCCTAAGCCCACCCACCCCTGAAATGGTAACCTCCAAATAATGTTCCGGACCATTCCGGTCCCCCTCAACCACATCACTGTGTTTATCCACCTGCAGGGCAAACTTTCCCACCTTGCCCTAACTGAAGAGCAAATCTCCAGAAGTCACACTTCCCACAGCATATATATCTGTGGACTCTTTTCTGAATCATGGAAAATTTATTGAAAGTTCTTTGCCGGATTATGAGGTAAGTTTAGGTTCCCAATACTGTAACATATGATGGAGAAGCCAGGTGACCGGGGGTCTCATCTCAAAACAACAAAGAAAAAGGGCTGAGCGAGTTCCGGAAATTTGCTCTCGCTACCAGCACACCAGGAAATCCGATAAAACAATGTTGTTTCTTTTTGGGAAGAGGAGTGTTTTCACTTGCCCAGGCGACGGCCAGCCCCTCTTACCCGCGCCGCGTTGTAAATCCGGAATATTCTGCTGATGATGTCCTCCTCCAGGTCAGCGGACACAAACTCCACCTGGATGGGTCCGTGTCTGTGGACCCCGTTTTCTGGCCAGTACTGGGGACAGAGCTGGCAGACAGCGGCGACTTAACAATAAGCTTACGGGACCACAGCACTTCATAAACGCTGGAAGAACTACTGCTAATGGTGACTCTGAAAGATAATGTTTAATTCTTAGCTGTGTCCTGATATATTCTCACACATATTCATCTCACCTAAGGAACACCGTGCTGTTAAAGTTATGGAATCAAATGTGTCATTTTCCTCTTTGCCTTTCTTCTGTCCTGGGGGGGTTTACAGAGACAGGGAAGGACGGCCACTGGCCCCAGCTGAAAGGTTTGCCCCCCTCCATTGATACTCATTGATTCAAAATATGGTAAGAATGGCCCCTCTGCATTAAAATTGCCCCCTCTAGTGCCCCCCACCTTAAAAAAAAAAGAAAACCCAGAATCACCTCTGTCTCTCTGCCCCCTCACCCTGCTTTTGGAGAGGTAGCTCATAGAGGTTGTTCAGTAAAGAAGCAGAATTCTA